GGATCCTTGTCTTATCTCGACATTTTCAACCATGAGTCTCATGCACATTTTACGAAGAATTGAGATGTAAGGCTAGAAGAGTTTTGTAAAAATTAAATTTAATGAAAAATTTGAAAAAACTAGGTATCGGACAATAACAAAAGACGCTGATTATAAACCGATGTATTATTAAATTTCGCTAAAATGAACATTTGATTAATCAAGTTTAGAAGCATCTACAAAAATACAGGTAATTCTTAATATATACATCTATATACTTATAAGATATATAGTCATACATATAGAGTTATAAGATATATGCCTTACTACATAAACTGTTATAATTTGTTATAATTTGTTTAATACGATTTTGATTGTTATGAAAAAAAAACACAATTGTTTTTCTTTAGATAAAGGACGTTTATTGCAAGAATCTGATTCAAATTTATTAACAATTACGAAGTAATCCGAGAATATATTAATAAAGAAATTCACACATAAGCTTAAGGAATATTCGCAAGATAATCCTTCACGTTCGATGGATCCAATTTTCTGAATCCGTTTGCGTCACAAATGCCGACTTCAATATTGTCCGCCGTCATTTGTCCTTCGAAACCTTCCTTTAGCGTCAAGATGGCAGTGTGAACGGCATCATCCAATTCCAGATCCTCGCTATACCTCTTTTCGAGGAACGTTTTGCCATTAACGAAGTTTTTGCCCATCGCGGTTGCCTTCCATGCAAAATATGTGCCAGATGGATCACATTGGAATAGATAAGGCTTGTCATTGTCCCAACCACAGATCAGAAGAGACACTCCAAAAGGTCTGACACCTCTATAAATTAGCAATGACAATAATTTAGTATTATTGTCTAATTATCTCTTATTATAAGCAGAGATACATATCTGTACTTTTCAATCAAATAATATTTTAACATTTAAAAATATGTAACTTTATACTTAAAATTGAAGAGCAAATACAAATCATAGTTGAAGACTAATGGTGAATTAAATCATACTACACTAGATTAGTACATATTAAATGCTGCTTTATATAAAGTAGTTTTTCTGAAAAGTTTACAGTACTTTATTAAAAAATTATTGGAAACCAATACTTGGTGATTTTTAGTAACTGATATCTTGTTAACTACCGCGAAAATTGTAAAATGAAATAGAGGTAATATAAAAGGAACGGCCCAGAGGGACAGCTCAGTATCAGGCTGTTCCTCGCCCTGACGAAGTGGATTACAAGGTTCACGAAATGTTGGCGTTCCAAGAATGGATCTGGACACGGAGAAAACCCGAGAAACACATAATCTTTATTAAAAATGGTAGAGGACTTTTTGACTCAATTTAGTCCGCTCTATGCGAATTTTATCGTTACTTATCAAATACCCTGTATACCTTCACATTTATCTTTATCAATTTCAATGAACAGAAGCTTTTAGTATGCACTAATCTAGTATAGTACAAGTAATTTGCTATAATTTGCAATCGTATTTGCTATAACTCACCCAGATTGCGTGTATTCTTGCATGACCATTGCAACGCGTTGTACGAGTTGTGCAGTCGGGATAGGTTCTCGATATACTAGGAGATATTGTTGTGCCATTTTCCGTGCTTGCTTTACTAATAATCTGTAATCTGGACCCATGCCACTGTAAACCATGCCGATGTGCTTTGTGATCATTTCGACTTTGCTGACGCTATGTTCATCATAGAGAATGGATTTATGTTTGTTTTCCGTAGCCAGAACAACACCATTTAACGCCTTAATGCCCACGCTCGGTGCACCAGCGGCTACTGCAGCTAAGGCATATTCTATTTGCACTAACTTGCCTGATGGACTGTAAAATACAATGTAATTAACCGATATATGAATTATATAATATAAAAATTATTATGAATATTATGTTATTTGTTATTTATATAATTTTTAGATGATCAATTGTACGACCTTGTATTTTTAGATTTGACACATGTACTCCAAGAATTTGACGAGTCACCTTGTCATATGTTATGTTTAACTTTTTCAAATAAAATATACTCAAACAAAATGATTATTTATATATTTGTCAATAAGAGACTAATATTAATAAGATACTATTAATTAAGGCAAAAATTTTTATTCATAATAAATAGAGAATGTAAGCCCGGTTTAGAAAGAGGTTAGGTTATTGTTTAATCTGTTTTCAGTGGTACCCTTCTTTTATCACAGATACGGAATATTGGCGTGAAACGTACTGTTTCGTACGCGATTATTATGTTACTGTAAATATATTTACCTGAAGGTTGTTAACGAAAAACTGTATCGTTCAGAAGCCATGACAATCACTTTGCAGCAATACACACAGCAATATCAAACTACTGCACCTACACTGTATCACAGTGTACTACACAAGTGTAGCTTGACATTAGATGATTCGACAATGGTACGAGAATTGCACTCGAAATGTATCTAGGAACATCTCTGGACAAAATAACAAACATGACTTTGAAAATGCTCGCGTGTATTATTACGCTTTATATTATAATATTTAAAAATTTATTAAAAAATGACAAAGTTTAATTTATATATAACTCGTGAATAAATTTTTTGTAATTGCAATAGTGTAAAATTTAATAATTGTGTATCTATAGCCCAGCAAACGAGAATGGATTGAAATGAATTGAAATGGATTCAGATTTTCAGAAATATTGATTCACGAATGTTAAAATGAATGCTTTCCAATCCTGAATGCGTTTTTATTCATTTATAGGAATTGCATATCTCTGTGTTTTTTAATCTAAAAATAATATTAGCTTTTTTTGTGCACTGTGAATACTGTTCAATTTAAAATTTTGAATAGGAAATACAGTTTTTCAATCTAATTGCATCCAATGGAATCTAATTGAACCCAATTGAATTCAATTAAAGCCAAAAAAAGAATTTGCTATTTAAAATACATATTCGGATAGAAAAAAATTTCCATTTTAATCCATTCTCGTTTACTGGGAAGTTTGGCAAGTACAATTTTATAATATATATGACTGCATCGGTGCATTAGTGTGTCAGCGATAAATAAATAAATTTAATTACATTTTATTATATACATCTATAGAAATACATATATATGAAACAAAAAAAAAATACAACTTTAGCGATGGCTTAGAACGTGTATAAAAAATAATTTCAATAAGAAATAGTATTTTTTTTATCTGTGCTCTAATGAAGATGGAAATATATTATATGGAAATATATTATAAGATAATTATGAAAATCTCAACTTTTTTATATAACGACTAATTTAAACGTTTAAAATGATTTAGGTAAAATATCACTGCGATGCAGAAATTGGTTATATTGTTCTGTAAATAAATAAAATATTTTGGATTGAAACTTTGATATTGTTTAAATTTTGGTTTATAAAAGTTCATAATTACACGCATATATAACTAATCAGCTTAGCTTATCAACCCTTCTTTTAATCTATTTTATTGTTAACAAAATATATATTATTCGTTTATTTACAAAACACCTAATCCTTGCGTCGTAATGACACTTGATATAAGTGCATTTTAAATACTTAAAGTACTTACACACAAAAGTGATTTAGATTAATTTTGTCATTATATATTTTTCAAATTTTATTAGTATTGTAATAAGAAAATAATAACAAATAAAAAGTAAATATATAACTGTAAAAATGTGTTTAATAAAAATAAAATGCTTGAAATACAATTTAATTTATGTGTATATAGCTTATTTAAAATATAAATATTAACATATTTGTGAAAATATAATATAATCTTAAATGTTAATACTTTTAAGCGAAATAAATATCAATTAAATGTTAATATTTTTAAGCGAAATAAATATCACGCGCATGTAAGATTGCAGAGATGAATATTTCTGATGCACAAGTGAATGTAGCATGATTCATTATATGAACCAAGTATCAATTTTTCATCTAGCGTTGAAAGATGGTATTACCCTCAGAAAAGTGAACATATTACCCTCAGAGCTATGTAGTTTACATTCACCTTTTGTCAGGGAGCAGTAGTGCGTGGCAGCATTTTGCGGTTTTGGGCCTGCATGTCCTCTCTCAGGTTTCTTTCTGTATATACTCTCCATAAAGAAATCTATTCAAATCAGTTCCTGTTTTCCTTTTGTGATACAAGTATTGATTTGATCATTGTTGCATCAGAAGATTCGTCAGGTGTAGATGTTAAAATTTTTGTAAGTTTCTGACAAAACTAATTATTTCTTTTACAATTGCCTTCTATAATTCTATTATTTATAGTATTTATTTGATAATATTTATTTGATTTATTTGTGGACGATTGAAGGGAAAGAATGTAATAGTTCTTTCCCTCTTAGTACTGATCCTATATTACTGACCGTATCCAAGTATCGTCTCCAAGTATAAGGAGCTTTTTAGACAAAAAAATACAAATCTCAAATAAATCAAGTGTCTAAATTTCTAAATTAAAAAAAACAAAAACATAATTTAAATATGGAAGAGGAACTTAAGTTAAATAAAAGTGAACTGTCTTCTGAAGCGGTGGAAAGTGAAATTGAAGAAACTCCATTAAGTGCAAAGGTTAGTTTTGATTGTTAAATTTTGAACATATTATACAAAAAAAATCGTGCGATATTATTTAACGAAACATCGCACGAAAACATCGATATGTTCATAAAAGTAAAAAGATGAAAACATGTGAGTGTGGTTGCGCGGTCAAGGTTACGTCCGAACACCATCTGAGTATTCTTCTATATTATTTTATATTTGTTGTTCACCGAATGTTAAGGTTGTTTTGTACATATTTTCAAAATGATAAAATTATGAAAAAATTACAGATTCTAAATCACGTTTAAAAATAATACGACAAATTTAGTGACAGTTTATTATCTGTATTGTAAATTATTTTAATAAATAGTAATATTTTTTTAATCCGTGCTCTAATAAAAATATATGGGATTATACACTATAAAATAAATGATGAAAATTTTGAGCGCAAGCGTGACATGGCAGACAGCGCACTGGTCTATCATGCCAGAGGTCCCGGGTTCAATCCCAGTAGGAATCAAAATATTTACGCTCGTGTCTTCTCTCGGAAAAGGCCGGCAATTTTTCGCGAGAGTATTCTTGCCCATAGAAACACTTCTCGAAAAATTCGCCGTTCGGAACTGACGCGTTATTAAAACTGTAGGTTCCATATGCTTATGGCAATTGAATAATCAGCGTGCGCCCCACAAGCATATATGAAAGAGGAGGTGTTAACGTAAGAGAAGAGAAGAAGATAAAAATTTCAATTTTTTAATATAAATACATTATGTATTTAAGATTATTTATGTAGAGTAACATTGCAGTGCATGAACTAGTGGTTCAATAAATAAACAAGATATTTGTCTGTTCTAGATCTTTGTAACTAATCACAATGAAACTTTGCATAGATTATTTTGATAATTTAAAATACTTAAAAAAGGAAAATGTAACTTTTTAATTATTTTTTAAATTTTAATTTTTAACAGTAAAAACAATAAAATAAATAAACTACAAAAATGTGTTATTAAACAAAAATATAATTTTATTCATATAACTTTCATGCGTATATAGTTTATTTGGAGTGTAAATATTAAACATACTTCTAAATTTAATTTTCTTTACAGGGGGATTGTACGTCTAGTACATCCTTAAATACGAAGTTACTCGAATTGTGTTTCTGAATATGCCTCAAATTATTTGTTTTTTTATACACATTTAAAGTCGTCATTTTGGCCGTAATCGCAAGATGAAATTTGCGATCTAAAAATTATGTATCTTTGTGTAAAATTAGTCGCTACAAACAAAAATGATCAATTTAAAGCAATCGAAATATCTTTCAAACAAAATAGTGAAAAAATGCATTAATCGAACTCAAATTTTTGCATTTCTACGATTTACTTTGCGAATATTAATGAAAAAGATGTGATAATTAATTTTTTTTTTAATAAAAATTTCGAAAATTCAAGAAATTTGAACGATTTTTGACATAAAATGCATTTTTGGCATTCCATTTAAATGCTTTCCATTTAAAATGGGTTTTAAAATACTTAAATATACATATATTAGGAAAAACCATTTTGCATTTGAAAATTATTTAAAATATCTATTTATCCTTTAAATTTTACTTTAAAAATGGATTGGAAAAACCTATTTTGTATTTAAATATACTTTCTTAAAGTATTTTATATTTAGCATTTTAAATAAAATTTGTGTGTGAAAAGCATTTTTCCAGCCTTGGAGATGAGAAGCTTATGGTAACTAGAATTTTTTCTATGCATTGGAGCATTATATTAAACCAATAAGTCATCAAGGATCAAAAATTTTTATTGTTTACTGAATGAATAAATAAATAACTTTTATTATTTATTGATTACTCTTACAATTGAATTACTTTATCAATTATAATTAAAATATCATCTAAGTTATTCTCGTCTATGTATTAATTTAAGGCTTTTGTCAAAAATTGTTCAAATTTCTAAAATTTTTATTTTTTTTTAAATAATTATCATATCTTTTTCATGAACATTTACAAAGAAAATGAAATACAAAAAACAAAACAGAAATTTAAACAATTTTCAACTGAAAATGTATTTTTTCATTATTTTATTCTACTTTGATTTAACTTTATCAATATTGTTTCCAGCAACTAATTTTATATGAAAATACATAATTTTTAGATCATAAATATAATCTTGCATTTATATAAGATCTCTAGTAGCTAAATGTTATATTTTCATATCTTTTAGACATTTTCTACAAATATATTATCTGAAACAGTAAATAATTGGTTAAACTTTAAGTTAAATCGTAACATTATTACTTGGGGTACGCTGGTAACTGAAATTCTTGAAGGTGGCAATTTATGTATTAAAGTTGCTCGGGCAACTGGGTTCTTTTCTGTTCTTTTGGTAGGATTACCAAAGACTGGAAAAACAACGCTTGCCGCACAAATTGCAAAAAATTCAAACTTCCCATTTATTAAAATTATTACACCTGAAGACATAATCAACCTTGATGAATTTGACAATGATTCTGCAAAATGTCGTTTTATACAGAAGGTATGATATAACTCGTTTTGTATTACACAAGTTTATAAGTAAATTCTTGTAATCATATTTGTTGTAAAGATTAGAATATAATCGCTTATCATTTGTACATTTTAGGCATTCGACGAGGCATATCGTTCGCAGCTCAGCTGCATTTTAATTGATAATATTGAACGTCTAGTGAATTACTGTCCACTGAAATCAAAGTATTCTATTCTGATATTGCAAACACTTTTCGTTTTATTAGAGAAATCGCCACCGCCTGGTCATAAACTGTTGATTTTATGCACTTCTAGTTGCCAGTAAGATAAGAACTTTCTTGTCCATAGAGAAAAAACAATTAATAAACAATTAACAAACGTATTTTTACATATTCTTAACAATGCATTTCTTTTTGCAGACAATTTTTAATCGATGTGGAATTAATTTTAACATTTAATACCACTTTTTATGTGCCTACTTTATCAACTGTTGATCATATGTTAAACGTGTTGGATGAAGTTAATCTCTTTTCAAAACATAAAATGGCTTCCTTTCGGACAAAGCTTCAAGGAAAGCAACGGTATGATATTACTGAAATCTTTAACTTTATTCAGATAATATATGTGATATCCAAATAATGTAGTAGATGCAGCGAATATTTTGATAGATATTTTATCATTATGAATTTTTCATAATATAAATATTTTTTCTTTATATACGTTTTATTGTTATATTTTATGGTTTCAGGATATTCATTGGTATTAAGAAGTTACTTTGCCTAATAGACATAGTACGTCAAGTGGAACCAAGTGACAGAGTCGAAGAATTTTTTATAAGATTGCTGGACGAAGGCGGTCTACAGTAAAAGTTTGTTTTGAATTGCATTAATAACATAATTATTACTATTATTATATTATATATATTTTATTAATTGAAGATAAAAAATATATTAAAATAAATCATATTCTTTTTTTAAGCAGACACAGACTATCTTTTTCACAATTTTTATTTTGATATTATTCGCTAATAATAATTTTGTACGATTTTGAAGACTATATGAAAATAAAAACAAAACAAACAGTTTTTTAAATCCTTTTTAATACTAAATTGTAACACAAAATACATATATTTCAAATATACAGCCTTGATAAAAAAATAAAACCTATTTTTTTCTAAAATTCTTTTACCTGTATTGTTTCCTGTTAATTATCGACATTATAAGTTTAAAGGGTTTATGAAACAAAGGATAATTCACTCCAAATGGTGTAAATAAATTTTTAAACAAATGTTAAATAGTGATTAATAACGAGCTTATTTTTGACCAAAGTTGTATATAAAGCACAATTGTTTTGTTATGATTTTTTTGTTATTTCAAGACCGTTTTAAGTAATCTTTTAAGACGCTAATACGGCCGTCTAATTAGTTCATGACATTTTAAGACTATACATAAGACGGTTTTAAATATAAGAATTAACTGTAAATATCGGCCTAAGATGGCAAAGCGATGCGCGGTCAACTTCATACATCAACAAAATTAACGTTGCTATACTTTTGAATTGGAGATGGTTGCTTTTACCTACAGTATCGTTTGCCTACATTACTTTTGCCGACAGTTCATTTGCACACAAAAATTATTGCCTACAGCTCGATTGCCTACATGTACACAAATAAAAATTTTAGAAACGGAGTTACTTTTGCCTACATGTATTATTGCCTACATGTATAATATTATTGCCTACAGCTCTATTGCCTACAAGCACTTTTGCGCACAAAAGTATTACGAAAAGTATAATACTTTCGTGTTGTTAAATTGGTAAAAGATTTATTTAAATTTTTCAATATAATTATATATCATGATTATATATGTTTTATATATTTAGATTTATAAAAAACCAAAGATAAAAACCAATCGTTTTGAAGAATCGTTTTTACAGTTGTAAAACTGCTTTCTCTGCTAAAAGCAGCTAATATATATATATATTTATCAAAAGTTAATACTTCACTATTATAAATTTGTTGCGTGTGCAAAAAACTCGACCCATGTTCGAATGTGATTTTTATCGCTAGTATATTATAACTATATAATTGTCATAATTGTAATTATTTACATAATAAGAGAAATATAACACATTTCATTAACTTTCCAAAAGTATTTCATCAAAAGAATGGCATCACGAGCGTTTTCCACATTTATTTTTATAATTATTATTTTTGCATAAATAGTCACAAAATTTCCTTAATTTTTTTCTTATTACTAATATTTTAGAATCTTTCTTAGAGTCTTACTTAATCTTACTTATAAAAGTCAATTAAAAAGCGTGTTAAATAATAAGTCTGTATTATTTTTATATTAAGTTGCTATTAAAATTGTTGTATCGTCAATATGTAGCTATGTTTTCAAATTGAAAATGGATGTACTGGCGCTAGTGTACGGGCGATTTTGACGAATCTACGAAAAACGCCGAGACGATCCCTTTCAGATTTCTCTCTGGGGCGCTATTTGTAAGGGCTGCCGCACACAAAATTCCGTAGAAACAGTATGCGTAAGGAGTAAACTTAAACCGATGAGCCAATCAGGATACTGCTTTAGATTATGTAATCTAACGGAAATGGAAATAACAGTAAACTTATCCATAACCTCGCAATAAGATGAATTTCAACCGGTTGAAACTCGCCTTATAGATAAGTTTACTGCTATTTCTATTTCCGTTAGAGTACATCTAAAGCAGTATCCTGATTGGCTCATCGGCTTAAGTTCATGTCTTAAGGTTACAATTACAGAAATTGTGTCTGCAGCCCTAAGGTATATTCTACAATAGAGTCGTAAGCGGTAAACCGTAAGAAATGGAACCAATCATAGTTGATTGTCCTTTTCACACTTAATTGTGATTGGTCAATTTCTTACGGCTTACGACTTGCGACCCTATTGCAGACATAATTGTTTTACACATCTACCGACAGTTGTCGGGGTTGTTGCGCCGCTTTTTCATATAAAATAAAATATCTGCGCAACGACACCGACAACAGAATAACTGTCGGTAGGCGTGTAAAGACGCAGTTACAGAATAGTGCCTCTGCTTTCAGATTTCTTCCTCTCTGTCCTTAGCTACCGAGAAAACGACATTTGCATTTTCGCCGTTGATAATTAGCGACGTGCATAGATTTAAACATGCGAACGTGGTTACCGATCGTGACCGGCGGAGACCGCCACGCGATGAGACGGAGCCGGGAGCAGTTGATTGGTGCGCGCGCGCGTGTATCGATCGCGCGGCGTGGTTGGCCAGTGGCGGCAGTGGCAGGCGCACCGGCATAATCAGGCGAGGCGCGATCGCGCGATATTGGGAGGACGTTGTTGGTGACGCCGCCGCCGCCACCACCGCCGCCGCCGCCGCCGCCGTCGTTGCTTCCGCACCGCACCATTCCGCACACCACACAGCTTTTGCAGTTGGTGCGCGGCTGGCTGGCCTACCGGCTCGTCTCCATTCACGTCGCCATTCATCCCCGCGCCGTCGTCAGGCTATTATGTCGCCACCGCTTCCCTCGTAGTGATTGTTTAGCTGCAGGCCAGTCTCAACGGGCGGTTTACGCCCCCGCCTCCTCTTCCCCATCATCCCATCCCCTGAGAAACGAATGTCCGCAGGTAAGGCGATCATCCCTATCGCGCTGCCATTCTCTCATCTTGTTTCGTTCTCTCGCATTTTCTCCACGCGAAGCGCATCGCGAAGGCTCGCGAGGGGCAAGAGAGATCGAAATGTCGAGAGACTGTAATTGAATCGAGCAGGCGAATTCGATCGTCGATGCGCGCGACGTTTATAACCTGTCGCGAGCACATTGGCAGTCAATCGCCATCGACTTGCCAATTATATACGACGACGAGCCTCTGTCCCGTGATGAAATTTCGAATTTGCTAATTCAGCTCGGTTTATCGACCGTTTTGGCTGTCGACACAATGTCGCGAATCGTTGACTGTCGAAAAAGCGTCGGTCATTTTTATCACGTTTATTTTCTCTCTCCGTTGTTTTTCGCGCTTTTTATAATAGCTTGACTAGCCCTGCGTATTTTTTTGTATGGGAGTATATGTCAAATACGTTCGTGCATTGACATTTACCTTTTGCCACGTTACTTTAGGTTACATGTTTTAATATTTTTCTGCAAAGGACATGATATTTCTATGTATTTAATTAAATAAAAGCTATTATTTAACACATTGCCAGGTCCACCAACAGTAACGTAAATTAATAACGAAATTAGGGGCTCTTTTCTATCTCTGCCTTTTTTACTTCAAATCCACAGAGAGGAAAAATCTGTTAATTTCAGGCTGACATAATTAGATATAATAACGAATTCAACAGTAATGAATTATAATAGTTAATATATAAACTATGCATTATTCAGTCATAAATAATTCAAAACAACGATTATTGTTTCTCGATCGAAATGAAATGGATGCTCATTAGAGAGAAGGCAGAATGAATTAAATGAGCAATCACATATACACTTGGAAAATTTGTAAATTAAATTTATCACATTTCGCACTCAAATAGTCCACTTAAATTTTTATATTAATTTAACACAAAGTGAATATATTAGAAAGTAACACAAATATTACGTAAAAAAGATTGAAAAAAGTAATGAACTTTTCTTTTTTTTTTAATCTATATATCTCGAAGCTTCCTAATTTTATTTTTACACATCATGGGCTTATTTTTTAAATTCTCCATCGATTGAAAAAAAAATTATGTAATTGAAATATGTTCATTTTTATGGAAATTAGGTAATACACAAATATAGATGAAGTCCCAAAATGTGTATAACTAGGGTTAAAAATTTAACAGAAAATTTTAATAAGGACTTGAGTGGACTAATACAAATACACACTAGAAGTCTGATTGCATTAATTGGGATTCTGACAGATTTATGGCCGTATTCATAGTCAGATCTTGTATTTAGGGCTTCCTTAAATTTATCTTTTAGATGCTCAGCAGCCAATGAAATAATTTGTAGAGCATTTGAAGATAAATTTGATGCTTCCTTAAATATAATATAAGGCCTGACTATGAATACGGACATTAGTCGTAAAGATATCAATTAAATACTTACAGTTAAATCTAATAAAATCTAATAAATGTAGTCAAATCAAATGTTCTAGTTGAGATTACCAGAAATTTAATTAGGATACCTAATAACATTTTGATTCATATCATCAGAAAGTCAGAATTTTCTTCATACCTACCTCTTGTTGGTACAACCAGACATTTTTCTCAATGCACATGCATATACATACATCTATCCCATCACGACGCAAAAGTACGATTTGTTTATACACGATCTCATCTCACGTTTCGAGTTTCGGTGTCTCTCAACGTTGAGACGTTCGTCGTGTACATACGACACCGATACCGATACGACAGTATTATATACGCTTACAAATCGCACAGCGACGGCGGCCCAATTCTGAGCATGCCATAAATTTCGATCGTCGATACTATCCGAAATGCCTGACGCAGACACGATCGACGGCTGTTTGTTTCGAACTCGGTATGTTGGGATCGCTGCGCACGATCCGCAAAATTTTAGCGATCTTTAAGTTGAACGCGAAGTGAGAAATTTTTGAAGATGTCTAACGCTCGGCGATTCGCGAAAAATCCGTGATTTCCCTCTGCCTCATCGAAAATACGCATCGAATTCCGAATCTTTCTCGAAAAATCATTAGTCTCAGTTTCTTGAAATAGCGAAAGAAATGTTAAAGGCTGACATGCCTTGAAATTTATACAGAAACTAGATTCTATAATATATTTGGCGATAAAATCAATTTTTGAAATTTTATGCACGAAAGAAAGACCTTTTCTTCTCGTCAGAAAAAGT